TTGTAAGTCCTATTAATAGATTGTAGACACAATAGACTAAGTTAATAAAACAAACATTTTATATTTACTGCATATTTCACTATCAGTTAAATTTCACATCTTAAAGTGCTTGATTTACCAGATGTAAACTTAAATCCTTTTAACGCGAATGGCACGTAAAATCTTTTCCCCAAGTTTTAAATGAAGTAAATTCGAATTTCCTATTTTCATTTTTCTGCCTTCGAATAGCATCATTCGCACAAACTGTTAAAATATGTTTCAGATGCTAAAAGCACAACCACATATTTGATTGTAGTGCAAAATTACAACCGGCTATTATCTATTTAGTAATTCTCACAATTTCATAAAATAAAATAATTGCAAACAAAGTATCGGATATTGTGTTACTACAATTTAAAGTATACATTCAAGAAATAATAATAATAGGCCTAATAATAATTCACGCCGCGTTTATTACCGGAAACATACGAAATAATATACTATATAATGTTTAAACGCTATTTTGATTACCATTCTATTGTTAGTTGGTTCCAGTTATTCATTTTTTTGAAAACATTAAATATCGTGTTTGGAGATAAACTACTACGGACAAGTAATTCATTTCGAAGGGGGAAGCGTTGTAATTTAGGTTACTTTATTTAACCTTATTTCGAAGTTTTATTTAGAACTTCCCATTTCTGAATATTAGGAAATTCACTCTTATATTTAGTTTGCTTAATATTAACCTTAGTTTCGATTTGACCTGATAAAAGACCATCAAGACTGTTATTCTGGCTAGTAATACATAAAAAAGTTGCAATAAATTACTAACCAAAATCAGAATAAATTATCTTTTATTGATCTAGTTAATAACTAGAAGCGATTCTTTTTTATTTTAGGATAATAGGTATGTATATATAGATCACCGATTAAAGTACCAGTGGATTATAAAAAAAACCTTCAAATTATTGGTTAGTTATTACCTTGATTAGTAAATTGATCATTCATCCAAAACTAATTAACTTTAATTATAACTCTCTCCCCCATTACTACCAGGGAGATAATAGTCAGTGCAATCTACTTCGCATTAAAAATGACAATCTAACAGAAAATAATCGACCTTTTTCATATTGAACTCCTTCAAATAGGCTTTAAATTTAACTGAAACTGAAAAACATTTTAATAAAATTTTTAGAAAGTTTATGTTACTTACATTAAAATCACTTAATCGTATGGTTATATCCATATCATTCATTAGCTTTATATTTTTGCAAATATTTATCATCATCAATTATTCGAAATACCGACAATACAAATCTGTCCCTAGTATGTCAGGTTCGGACCTTCATCACCCGGCCATCCCCAGTATGTGCCTAGTGAATCCACGATGGGTACGCTATACAATTATTTAATTACAAAACCTTTCGAACATGAAAAATGACAAATTCGTTTTTGATCCTTAGGTTAATTTAAATTTTTCGAACCACTCGTATCTAGTTACATCCGCACCGTATTAATTATTATTTAGCAAACACACTACTATTTGTTCTTTGCTATTTCTATACTTTCCTTACCATCTAACTTTATTTAATTCTAAACGCATTCTTCGTCATCCTCCTCCTGTCAATCATAGCCCTCTAAAATAAAAGACGGTACAAAAACAAACTTAAACATATGTTTATTGGGGAAAAATATGACCATATCTGATCAGGTTCCTTGCTTCAAAAATACTTCTTCGACGTCAATCTCAGTGCTCAATCTAACTATTTCTTTAGCCGTTCGTTATCTTAGGAACCAATAAAATGCAAGTCATCACGCCACCAAAAACATTGTTTATTTAATACAGAGGGTTTTATTTTTCCACCAGATAAATTATTTTAATAAAATCACGTAACTTTGAAGTCATATTTCATGAATTTTACTTCAAAATTTTATATTAACAGCTGTATTGAAAACCTGTGTTTATGAATCATGCTGTTTACAACAATTCACTAAAGCTGTTTTTAAATGCAAACGATAAAAATCTAAAGCAATGTTTTCATAAAATACGAATGTGTTTGGGATTGAAATTTCTAATTTATTATTTTTTACATGTAAATATTGTTTTGAATGAAATATAAAACGTTAACGCGGAAGTAAAGATACTATCTACAAAAGTATAAAAGTAATTTATAAAAAGAAGTTATTCACAAACGTCAGACATTTTGCAAATATTAAAATTTATAAATTACATTAGAACTGGAACAGAAATCAGTTCACCAGTTTTCCAGGATACGATTATTATTACGATAAACAGATTTTCACACGTTGAAGGCGTGGAAAAACTACATAAATCTTAAAATTTTAAAAGCATATGGGATCGTGACCGATATATCCGTTCAAAGATTCTAAAAATACTAAACGAGACCAAATCCAGAATGTCTTTGCGATTACAACAGTGACAGGTAAAATTTACTTAATAATTTCTAAAGAAATGTGTACTGAAATTAATTACAGGTTTTATAGCATAATTTAATTCGGAATTCTAATTTATAACAAAGAGTTTCGTCACCCGATATGCGTCATTTAAATTGTATACTTTTAACTTCGAGGTCGTTTATACGGTTGCAGAATTAAAAATTTCTAAAACGTAAACAGATTTCTTTAAAAAGTATAATTTCAGAAAACATTGCGAAAACGCTTACAACTAGCGAGATGCAACATAGACAATGAAACGGTTCCACTTCGTAATTCTGTATCATCATTAAATTAGTCATTATTTTTGTAATATCACTAACGGAAATAAATCTAAAAATGGAACAACGCGTACATTTTATTATATATATATATATTCTAATCGAATAAACTTATTTACAATTGCAGTAAAATTCAGCCTGATATTTGTTCTATTTTTATTTGATGGAAATAGACTGTAGACCAAAATTTTGTATAAAATCCATTTAAAATATTGGCTTAAAATACGTATTATTTCTATTATTCGAACTATTATATTTTCTATGAAATACTACTGTTCTGGGGGAATAATAATTAATAAAACTGAGCTTATGAGGAAAAATTCGCAGCAACAACTACAGAATCACATGATGCCATTGTTTGTTCTTTTAATTTAAAAACCTAGTGTATAAGTCTTATTTAATGCTACTGAATAAATTATACACAATTATTTATTTGTTTGGTTTTAACGTTTTAATTATAAAATTTGATATAAAACAATCAATACTAACAATAGATCTATTGTAAAATAGTGAGTAATAAGAAAATCTCTATTTCGAAATTTAAATAGATTTAATAAATATTATAATCCTATATCTGTTATTTACGCATTTGTTTTACAATGTGGTATAATGTTTAATGCATTGTCGGATTTATTATATTAATAATTAATCATAATAAATGATATTATAAAAGAGTATAATAATTAAACATTTATTTATAGAAATTAACCCGAGTACTAAATATGATTATGGAGCAATAAATTTAGAAAATGCGATTACATAATGTATGAATTTATTTTTAAAACTAATTCATTTATTAAAACAAGACCGAAAAAGCTAGCGCAAAACTGAAATAACAAACCAGAAACGCCCGTTTTGAAGCATGAACAATTTTAAAAAACCAGTACAGTACAATGTTAATAAATTTGTAAAGCATTTAAGGTTTATATATACACATAAAGTTTTATTTATGTAAAACCAAGTATCAAGTACGGCCGTATTTTTTAAAAATATTCCTGTATGTTTTAACTGCAAGAACCAAAGGCGAAAAATAAGGACAATTTACGATACAAAATTTAAAACAATTTTCTGGACGAGATACGTTTCCGGAGGGAGAAAAACGCTCGAAACAGATTCCGGAAGAGACATAGTTATATTTCGACCACGCAACAGTTAATGAATTCGGCTGAAATTGTTCCAACATCCACACTGGATGACAGTACAAAATAACGGTGACTTTCGGTCATTGACACTAACCTTGAAACAGGCAAATACATGGCTAACGGCAATGCCCGTTGTGCCGACTTTGCACCTGGTAAGACGAAAAGAAGGGAACGGGACAGAGCGCATGCGCCGTGACAAAAGACAGGTTACTTAGTAATTACCTAAGCTATAGCGACCAAATAGATTAGAGTTTAGGATTAGAACTTTAACAATTTCGGTATTCTCTCGGAAAAAATTACCCCCTTTTTTATTTTAAAAAAAAAGTCGAATAAAGAAAATTAAAGAAATAAGCTGTAGAGGTTAAAAACGAAAGACGTAATAATAAAATACAGGAAAAAACGCAAGGCTTAAGAGCCGATTGAGAAACGAGAGGTCACCTTTCCAACAGGGAAAACTAAGAAACGTTTCTTAGGTCTAGCAATCAGCATGGGGCTAGCGGAACAGACCTCATTTCCACATCGGCGGTCGAGACGAAGGAGATCCGGGCAACAATGACCGTGGCTGGATCGCCGTAGAAACAAAAGCGTGTAGCGCAATATACGTGCAATGAGTAATAGCAAAACTTCAATAGCGGCCATTATAAGAACTTCCCCGTCGGATGGAAATAGGTCAATTGTTTCGGAACTAAACTGTCGAAGCGGGAAGAATAGTGAAGCCATAAGTAAAACGACAGGTCGATGGCTTATTGCATAGAGAACGCGGTTTCCCGGCTTAACTGTCCGGAACGATGGTCACGATTCGATCGTCCTACAAGATAACGGTGTCGACCACACGGTCGTGAACTTGCTTCATATAGGTCTAGTTCTCGAAAAGAAGAAACACGCGGAAGTGAGTCGAAAATTTGGAAACCAGAACTGTTTTGATAATATTTCGGCCTCTTGTTGACACCCTTTATTCCAATGTTGTGGCCATCAAAACGGGTTGACCGACTGTCCTACATTGATAATTGGCCAGATCTTTTTTCCTAATTTGCTATGGCTCTCTCTCTATTGTTACTTCGCATACGTAATGTTAAATAATCGATATGATTTATAAAAAGCGCACAAGTTTATAAGTATTTTTTTTATTTATCGATAAGCTTACCGGTTTTGATTCCGTCATTACTATCACAATCGTCTTCGGATGAACAGTAATTTTCATTGACGTATTTTCGATAACATAATGGTTGATATGGTTGTAAAGTGACGATGCTTCCTGTTTTTCTACCTCTTCTCCTCCTTTTTCTCGGTTTAATCACTCTGGGTAAACTCGTGTCTGATGTAGTCGAAGAATCTTCCGATCCGATATTCACCTTATCGGGCCAACTATAGGGATTCGGGGGACTGGCTGAAACGTACAGCTGATTGCCGGTGAGATAAAATAATCCTCGATCGTCGGGCGATTCCGCAGGTGGGACAATTAGAGGGGCACCTTGAGCGTGTATAGCCAATCTGCTATAGGGCTGAGAAACATCGGTCGGTGGTGTCTGTTTCCCTAAAACACCAGCATAAATCGGAAGACCCGTCCAACCTTTCCGTCCGTGACTTATAAGGCATGAACCGATGTATTTTTGTACGTTGTGGACATCGGGTTGTGGACCCATGGTCCAAAAACTGGATGATAAACACACTGACGTCTTCAATCCATGATTAACGACATGAGCATATTTACAACATACAAGACTAACTACACTAGATGCTATGAAAATGTACTGAGCCTCGTTTCAAGCAACCAACAAGCAACACCACGTGACGAAGAGGCGGCGCTTATTTCGTATCGTAACGCACCACGTGGTTGTGGTTACGATTACATCACAGAGCTCTACTCCTGTTAGGCGAGATTTATTAACAAAACGTATCCATCTATCAACCTAATTAATATTAACACATTTACAAATATAAAGAAGCATAAACGCGAATACGGTTTTTTTAACATAATCTACTATATTATGATAAAATAATAAAGGGCACCATGATTATGGATTTAAGGAAGGAAATAGGTTTTGAGGTCACAATTCATTTGGAACGGAGGATAATGGTCTGATTACATCAAGTTGTTTGGGTGATTCCCAAGGTTAGATCGAATGATGTGGGTCAATCGAACACCTTTTAATTCATACACTAATAAAAACAATATAATCGCGCGTTAGTAATAGATTAATCTGAGCAAAAATTAGATAAATTTGCAAAATTACATTAATCTCACAAACCTGTTAAAAACAGTAGCTATTGAGCTTTCTTTCCTAATCTTTCCACATTAAAAAAATTCCCCTCTTCCGGTGTGTGAATATATATACACATATTGTGAAAAGCCGGACTCGATCAGGAAAAAGTTTTTTCTTTTAACTAAGGGTTATCTAGAGCGCGCCCTAAACTCGATATCCTAATATAGCGCCTACTCTGATACCGATTATAGAGACAACAGAAATAGCTAATGACCTTAAATATGACTACAATTCGATGAAATTTTAAATGCGTTTATTATTCGAATAAAGATGATCTTCTTTCCTTAAACTTTATTTGAAGTAAAGACAAAATACATAAATTATGAATATATAAAATTATTGTACAGGTATATAATGCATTTAAAAGGTTTGAAGATACTACATTCTGTAAACTATATTTATCTGCTTATTCTGAAATTATCACTACAGTTTTGTATCACAAACTTGAAAATAATATTTATAATTCTATTAAAAAACTATAATGTAATTCATAAATATACAAGGAATGAATTTTTCAATACTTGTAAATGAAAGAAATTTTAAAATAATTACTTAGCATTCACACAATGAATTTTACTAATATTCAAGTGTAATAAAATATAAATGCAATATTTCTAAATAAATTTAAAAATATATATAAGCAGGTAACCATGAACAATAAATTTGTTTTCTGTATAAAAGTGTAATATATTATTAATTTAACTTAATAATTTTATTAAAAGATTTATTTACATTTAAAAAAATATTCAATGCAGTTACATATACTTTGTATGCCAAATTTAAAATTTAATATAACTTTCATAATTAGAAACTGTCATTGAGAAACTGTCAAAGATCCCTGAATTTTTCTTTTATCATATATGAGTAATCATTTACAGTAGAATACTGCATTCAGAACAAAGATTAGTCTATAACTGCACTATCTATGTGATAATATTTATTGCTTATTAGTTTTTTTTATTTAACTTATCAATGACATCAAGGATAAAAATTAATATATCACATATTCATTTATTTGTGAAATGTAACAGGCTTTAACTTTCACACTTTTGTTCAAAAATCTATATCCAAAATTTTGCAATATTAAAATATTAATTATGCAACAATAGAGCTTACTACATACTTCAAGGAAAATATTTTTTCTTAACTTTATTTCTTCACTTTAAAAACATTTTTCTATCTGTTAATTTATATTAAGCTTACATAAAATAAAATATTACTAGATTTTATACATCACAGCCTGGAGCTAAAAACTGTGACTCATGTATAATTAGATAATAATTATTTACTTCTTTTAGCACAGAAAATGACTTTATCATATCAGTTAATTCTGTATTATTTCATTTACTCTATAATATTTAATAGTAAAGAAAAGGCTATAAAAATATAACTAGTTTTGAAAAAATGTTGGTATTACTAGCTTTTCTTGTATGTCTGTCTGTATGTATATATTTTTTTTCCATAAAAAAATCAGCCAACTTTTATCATATTTATAAATCTTTTTAATTCGCTTTTTTTTACTTATAAAACCTATGACCTATATACATTTAATGTAAGATTACAACATTAAACAGTGTTGAAGGCAAGGAAGGAGAATAAGGTCAATTTAGTTACTAATACATAGATAGATTGGTACATCACCCATGTGTGGAAGAAATACGATATAGTTAGTGATTAAGATAAATTCTGCCTTGGCACAAAAAAAATTTTCCTTATTATTTTGGTAAGCACTTTAACCATTAAAATAGAATAAATACTACATGAATATAAATACACACACTCTTGTCTATTGTTTATATGAATGAAAAATGTAAGACATGATATAACATATGTCACTTTGAAGTTATAATGTATTTCTTTAAATAATAGGGATAATTTTATTACAACCCAATTAAAAATAATAAATTTCACTTATACTATTAAAAATGACAAAATATAATTTATTCTGTTAAGTAACATGATTAAATTTTATTTTATTACATTTTTTTTTCAAATTTATCTAAGAGTTTTGAAATTAGTTTTTACTAATTAATAAAGTGATGTTAAATAAATTAAATACATTAAAAACTTTGCAATTTAAAACTTAATCTAAATATAGCTCTAAAGATCTATAATTATTAGTATTGATCTATAAATATTATTATTTCAAGATGTATTTAAAAATACCGTTATATTATAGAATTTACTAATTATTGGACTACAAAAATATTTATAACAATTCAGTACATATTTTTCAGTAAGGACTACAGGGAGAAAAAATGACAATAGCATTAGAATTACTTCAAAAATTGAAAATGGCATTAGTAATATTTTACTCAATATGACATTTTACTTAAAATTATAGCTTTAACAGGAAAAACAATGAAAGTTTCATTAACCAAAACAAATATATAATTACTTTATATAAAATGTAAAATAGAAAATATATTATTCATAGAAAAAAAAACTAAAATTATTCTAAAATTAATAAAATAAAAAGATGCTAAGAACTAAAGATTTTAATTAAATACAGTAATACCCTGAACCTACGTGATAGGTGGGACTGAGCGATAACTGCGTAAGTTGGGGTATGATTTCGCAATTTGTATAAAATCCAAGTCAGATGTATGTAAGATAATAAATGTTCTCGTTAATCTTATCTCGTCTTTTGATTCGTTCACAGTTACAAAAAATCACCACATAGAGTCTCTCAAGTCTCCATAGACATAACAAACACAGAANGAAAACGTGTTGTATTATCATTAAAAGATAAATTAAAGTATTTGTTTCGATTATCCGGATTTTTCCTTATCCGGACTACCTTCATCCCCAATTAGTCCGGATAATCGAGGTTCTACTGTAAATTGTAGCTATGTATTGATTCCGCGTAACACGTCTGAACATGTAATCTGAACAATAGTGTGGGGGGCATGAGTGATCAAGAGTTGCATGGTGCTCAAACCAAAGACGAATCGACGAGATTTGAAAATTGTGTAAATCAGGGTTCGCATAAGTTGGGGTAGCGTAAGTTGGGGTATTACTGTACTGAGAAAGATCCAGTTTTGTTCTCCTATCTAATCAAGTATATTAAGGAGCTTCAATATTTCTACCATCACTCTAGTATATTTAAAAACCTTATGTTAAGTAAAATAATAAAATTGTTATTTTATATTCATATTTTTAAAAATAAATTTATATATAAATACTATATTTAGAAATTGTTTAATATAAAATCAATTATAGTTTAAAAAATCTTCAGTGGAGTAAAATAGAAAAACAAATGGAAGTTCTCAAGTACTTTCAGACTGCATAAATCCACTTTAAGGGAGAAAAAATCAAAAGCATAACAGACAAAAATTCAACTTCAACTAATCATTATTGAACAACACTTTCTAATTCAAAGTAAATAATAATAATTCAGAACTCTATCATAAAAAATGAACACATTTCAAAGAAAAAATAATATAAATTTTGTTTAAATCTGAACTTAAAACAATTAAGATAGTGATCTAGCTTATTTGCTTTCTATTGTTTATTAAATATCAAACTTTAAATTTTGCAATAGCATCTAAAGTCTGCATTTTGCCAATGGGAAAATAATTTAATATAATTTGAATTGTTAATGCAGTTAAGAAAGACATTTTTCTTGAAGGTCTATATCATATCATCTAAAATGATAAGGCAGGCAAAAGGAACAAAAATCTGCATTTTTATTTTTATTTTAAGAATAGTTAGTTCAAAAAAGCAATGAAATGATAACTACATTATTCTTTCATATAAGAAAGCTTAACTTTTTATCTCAAAATTACTAATGTTAGCTTTAAGCTGTTGTAAATTAAAGTAAACAGAAAATTATGTACCACTGTGTCTATCAAAAGAAAGAAATCAAGATGGAAAGAGAAATAAACTTGACCTAGATAGAAACTGAACTAGATCTTAAAATTACATTGAATGCACTAAAAATGAGAACCAAACCAGGGACAGGCAGACTCTCTCTCTATCTCAATTTTTTAAATAAGTACTGTCCACCTGATGACCCGTAAAAATTTTTTTTATGTCTTGTTAATACTATAACAATTAATACAATCATGGTTGTAATGCTGCACAAGTAATTGGATTCTTATTTAACAAAAAACCAAATATATAGTAATATTTTCTCTTGTTGAAAGACATTCAGTTTCAAAAAATCTTCAGATTCAGAAAAGAACTTTCTGGTTTCCAACATATCAAAAAATTTGTGCACTTTTTAGGGCTCATCTATTTATTAAAAAAATTTGACATTCTGATATGTACTGTACATATTATTGTGTAATGATTCTTCAAATATTTAAAAGTTATGAATATTGTAACTAGTTTAAGGTTACAGTTTAGTTTTGTTTATTTACAAATCATTCATTAAGTTATTCTATTAACTGTTTTAACATAGAACCTTGAATCTTCTTATCAAACTGAATTTGAATTTAACTGTAACAATTACTTTTTACAAATATATGTAAATTATTATTTGTTAAGCAATATAAAGATGATGAAAAAGAATTTTAAAATATATCTGACATAAGTGTTTACAATTTCTCAAATTAAAAAACAAAAAAAGTATGAGATTTATAAAAATCTGTTAAAACTTTGTTTATTAGTCTTGTTGTTATTTAGTATGTAAAAAATCTATTTATATAGATATCAAGAGAAGCA